GCGCCACGGAACGTGCCAGGGAACGTGCCAGGTTGCAATGCGGAGTGTATCGATATTGATGTACCGTGCCGAGGGTTGTGCTGTGCTGCGTCGTGCTGAACTGCGATGTGCCATGTCGCGGTTGTGCTCGATAGTGTTGTGGACCGAGTCTTCCTTTGCATCCGAGTCCTGACCGAACTGACCTGGATCTTAAGCTCGAGCTGCCTGAGCACATCGAGCTGCCTGAACACATCGTAGCTGACCCAGAGCTGATCAAGAGGGACACCTGCCAGGAGGACTCGCCGCGGAACGTCCCAAGGGACGCGCCAGGCGACGTGCCAGGGGACTTGCCATGGGAACGCACCGCGGGACGTGCCAGGAGACGCGCCGCGCGACGTGCCAGGGGGACTCGCCACGGGACGCGCCACGGAACGTGACATGGAACGTGCCAGGTTGCAATGCGGAGTGTATCGATATGGAAGTACCGTGACGAGGGCTGTGTTGTTCTGCGTCGTGCTGAATTGCGATGTGCCGTGTCGCGGTTGTGATGTATAGTGTTGTGGACCGAGTCTTCCTTTGCATCCGAGTCCTGACCGAACTGACCTGGATCTTAAGCTCGAGCTGCTGGAGCACATAGTAGCTGCCCCAAGGGTAATTGACAGGGGAACATGCCAGGAGGACGCGCCGCGGAATGTTCCAAGGGACGCGCCAAACGACGTGCCAGGGGACGTGCCATGGGGACGCACCGCGGGACGTGCCAAGGGGACGCGCTACGGAACGTGCAAATGGACGTGCCACGGGACGTGCCAGCGCCACGGGACGCGCCACGGAACGTGCCAGGGAACGTGCCAGGTTGCAATGCTGAGTGTATCGATCTTGATGTACCGTGCCGAGGGTTGTGCTGTGCTGCGCAGTGGTGAACTGCGATGTGCCATGCCACGATTGTGCTCTATAGTGTTGTGGTTCGAGTCCTCCTTTGCATCCGAGTCCTGGCCGAACTGATCTGGATCTTAAGCTCGAGCTGCCTGAGCACATAGTAGCTGCCCCAGAGCTAATTGAGAGGGGGACGTGCCAGGAGGACGCGCCGCGGAACGTCCCAAGGGACGCGCCAGGCGACGTACCAGGGGACGTGCCATGGGGATGCACCGCGGGACGTGCCAAAGGGGACGCGCTACGGAACGCGCCGATGGACTTGCCACCTCATGCTAGATATCCGCCTGGGCGAAATGGAAGGGAAAACAAGTGGTTTGCTCGAGACATTCTCAACACATCTTGATGTCAGACGTCCGTTCCAGGCCCCCCAGGAAGGCCCTAAGAGGCCTAGATACCCCCTAGGTGGACTGGACACGTGAAAGCACTTTGTTCCGCCATGTTAAATGCCGCCCTGGGCGGCCTGGACACGTAAAACCTCGCGGTTCCAATTTGGGGCAATCATGTTAGATACAGTTTGGGTGGCCTGGACACGTAAACACACGTGGGGCCAGCTCTGGGCGACCATGTTAGATACACCCCTGGGTGGCCTGGACACGCTAGAACAAGTGATCCTTGCTCGGGACAACTATGTTAGATATCCTCCCCTGGGTGGCCTGCACACGTAGAACCACGTGGTGCCAGCTCGGGACAATCATGTTCGATATCGCCCTGGGCGGCCTGGACACGTGAAAACACATGGTTCAATCTCGTGACAACCATGCTAGGTATCTCCCTGGGTGGCCTGGACATGTAAACACACGTGGGACCAGCTCTGGGCATCCACGCTAGATACACCCCTGGGTGGCCTGGACACGTTAAAACACGTGGTTCTTGCTCGGGACAACTATGTTAGATATCCCGCTGGGTGGCCTGGAGGAGTAAAGACATGTGGTGCCAGCTCGGGACAATCATGTTAGATACCACCATGGGCGGCCTGGACACGTACAAACACATGGTTCAAGCTTGGGACAACCATGTTAGGTACCCCCCATGGTGGCCTGGACACCTAAACACACGTGGGACCAGCTCTGGGCATCCATGCTAGATACACCCCTGGGTGGCCTGGACACGTTAAAACACGTGGTTCTTGCTCGGGACAACTATGTTAGATATCCCGCTGGGTGGCCTGGAGGAGTAAAGACATGTGGTGCCAGCTCGGGACAATCATGTTAGATACCACCATGGGCGGCCTGGACACGTACAAACACATGGTTCAAGCTTGGGACAACCATGTTAGGTACCCCCCATGGTGGCCTGGACACCTAAACACACGTGGGACCAGCTCTGGGCATCCATGCTAGATACACCCCTGGGTGGCCTGGACACGTTAAAACACGTGGTTCTTGCTCGGGACAACTATGTTAGATATCCCGCTGGGTGGCCTGGAGGAGTAAACACATGTGGTGCCAGCTCGGGGCAATCATGTTAGATACCACCCTGGGCGGCCTGGACACGTAACAACAAGTTGTTCCAGTTCGGGACATTCATGTTTGATGCCCCACTGGGTGGCCTGGACACGTAAGCACACGTGGGACCAGCTCTGAGCAACCATGCTAGATACACCCCTGGGTGGCCTGGACACGTAAAAACACATGGCTCAAGCTCGGGACAACCATGTTAGATATCCTCCCCTGGGTCTGGACACGTAGTCACACGTGGGACCAACTCTGGACAACCATGCTAGATACACCCCTGGGTGGCTTGGACATGTTAAAACATTGTGATCCTTGCTCGGGACAACTATGTTAGATATCCCCATTGGATGGCCTGGACACATGAAAACACGTGGTGCCAGCTCGGGACAATCATGTTAGATACCACCCTGGGCGGCCTGGACACGTAAAAACACGTGGTTCCAGTTCGGGACATTAATGTTAGATACCCCACTTGGTGGCCCGGACACGTAAAAACACTTGGATCCAGCACTGAGCAACCATGTTAGATACAACCCTGGGTGGCCTGGACACGTTACAACACGTGGTCCTGGCTCGGGACAACCATGTTAGGTACCCCCCTGGGTGTCCTGGACATGTGCAAATTACGCAGCCCCTGCATTTCCAGGGCCACGATTCCTAGTAAATTACGCGGCATCCGCGCTCCCAGGGCCAGGATCCCTTTTAATTACGCGGCGTTCGCGCTCCCAAAGCCGCGATCCCTCGTAAATTACATTGTGTTTGCGCTCCCAGGACCCCCTGGGCACGTGACAACCATGTTAGCTATCCCCCTGGGTGGCCTGAACGCGTAAAAATTACAAAGCCCCTGCACTTCCAGGGCCACGATCCCTAGTAAATTACGCGGCATCCGCGCTCCCAGGGCCAGGATCACTCGTAAATTACGCGGCGTCCGCGCTCCCAAAGCCACGATCCATTGTAAGTTTCGTTGGGTTTGCGCTCACAGAACCCCCTGGGCATCCTTGAGCGCCCAGACCCATTAAATTTTGCAAAACGAGCGTTTCGCTCGAGACGTCCCCAGAATTTCTGCGCGCAGGACGCGCCATCCTCGAGGGGGCACACGAAAAGACAACATTTAAACATTTTTTGTGTCCTGGTCGGGGCTCCAGACTTAGGTTTTTCTCGAGGATTCTGTCGCACCCTGTTTTTTACGACGGAAGACGGTGGTCCGCGGACCCCGTTATGTATCGAGGATCCGAGATGGGGGGCGAACTTTCCTCGAGCGGGCACGCGAAAAACGTATTTGTTCAACTGTAAATTCACACTTTACTTCGTAATTGATCGCAGCATAATTCCGCCGGCCAACCTCCCATAGGGGCCGGGGGTAAAACCCGTAAAAAAGAACCCTGTGCCCAAGCCCTTTCCGGGAAAAACGCATTTCTTCCACGCCGAATTGGATTTTACTTTGTTATTTATCGAAGAGAATTCCGCCTGCGTCCTTCTGGGGGGTTGACCGACTAAACGAGAACCCTGGGCTGAAGCCCTTTCTTCTGGGAAAAAGAGGGGAGAGAGTGATGAAGTGTCTCTTTGACGTTGGTTGTGTGCCCCGCGCAGACGGTTCTCGCATGCGCGCTTTCTGCGCTGATCGCGCTCACAGTGCGTTTGAATGCGTGCGTTTTGTTGATGTACAGATTGCGCGGGCATGCAAGGCACGTGGGGAATGCGGGCTTTTCATTGTGGAGCCCAACCCGTGTGCGTCAAGGCGTTTGTGTGTCCGCACGTGCTTTTCTGGTGTGTGTATGTACGATGCGTGTGTGTGTGTGTGTGTGTGTGTGTGTGTGTGTGTGTGTGTGTGTGTGTGTGTTCGCATATGTTCGTGCCCATCATCGTTGGCGTAGCGACCGCGATCTCTTGGCTCTTCCTTTGCTAAGGGCTCGCTCCCATCCCATCGCACTCTACAGTGGTCTACGGCCGGCCGCCATCGGGCTCGGTGTTTTTTTCCGGCGAGCATCGGGGTGAAATTGCCAGAAGTGGCTTGCTTTGTCCCATTTCATGCTATCAGCGTGCTGCCCATCGACTTGCTTGGCGCACGGCCACTCTTCACAGTTTGGATCACTGCTGCGCAGGTTTCTGCGCAGCAGCCGCAGCATATGCACACTTCTTGCAATAGGTGGTGTCGTCAGTGTTGGAAAATCTGTGTGTTGCCATAGAGGAGGTGGATATTTCCACGGGTCGGATGCCCGCAACGTCCCGCTGACAAGCAACGTGTCTTGTCTTTCCCGCCGCGTTTGGTACCCTCGCTGCGTCGTGCCGCTACCATCTCGCTGATGTCGACGCCGTGCCGTCGTGAGTTATAGACTTGATGGCGTACCACGTCGTATACATCATAAGGGCAAGTTAGCCACAAGCGATGCTATCTCGCTGCGATGCCGCCGCAACGAGCCGCTGTCACGCTTGTGTGTGTGTGTGTGTGTATGTGTGCGCGCGCGCGCGGCGTGTGTGTGAGCGTGTGTGTGTGTGTGTGTGTGTGTGTGTGTGTGTGTGTGTGTGTGTGTGTATGTGCGCTTGTGTGTTGCGTTTATGCAGTTGTGCATGTGCTATGCTGGTGTGCGCAACATACCTTGTTGAATGTTGGGTGCAAGTGTTCTTTTTGGTTAGCCGGCCGCAACCCGGTTGTAGGGGACGCCAGCGATGGCGTTCTGGGGCACCGCCGTAAAGCCAGGCACCTGGACGCAGGGGAAGGCTCCTGAAGGCACGCGGCGTATTGCAATTGAGGCAGGCCTGCCACAGAGATGGGTGTAACACCAGCCATGTGGTGCTCGGACGCCCGCTTGCTCCTACTCGCCCCTCTCCTTCTGCTCCTGCTCCCCTTCTGCCTCCCCTTCCTCCTCGCCCCCCTCCTTCGTCTTTGCCTCCCCCTCTTGCTAGGAAGAGTGAGGGGGCAGCATATTGGTTCTCCTTCCCTTTTTTTCCCCCATCTCGCCCTCCTCGTCCTCCTCGCCCGCCCTCCTGCTCCCCCCCTCGTCCTCCGCGTCTTCCTTCCGCTGTCCTTCTCCCCTCCCTCCTCCGCGGCCGTGGCCTGCGTGCGTGGAGACTCGGTCGCGCGTGCGGGGCCCTGCTCGAGGGACGGCCCCAGAGTCCCAGAGTCGCGAACCAGAGCCACGGCGACAGCATTCTCGTGTTTTCGGCGTCCAGGGATTATCCTCGGGCCCCCCCCTCCCCTCCCCCCTCCTCCCACCCCCCTTCACAATTAAACGATCTGAAAACTACTCTCCTCTCTCCCCTGGTGGCGTCCAGGGATTGTTCGGCCCCCTCCGTCTTTTTTCTTCTCTTCATTATATATATATATATACGCATTGATTCTCTTCAACAAACACATGATCGACCCATGGACCCGGAAAGGAATATAGAAATGCAAGGCATGTCAACGATTCCAAGACACCTGATTGGGCGACGGGCAGTTGCAATGCTGAGTCGATCGAGCTTGACGTACTGTGCCAAGGGCTGTGCTGTACTGCGCCGTCCTGATCTGCGATGTGCCATGCCGCGATTGTGCTCTATAGCGTTGTGGATTGAGTCCCCTTTGCATCCGAGTCCTGACCGAACTGATCTGGATCTTAAGCTCGAGCTGCCTGAGCACATAGTAGCTGCCCCAGCGCTAATTGAATTGACAGGGGGACATGCCAGGAGGACGCGCCGCGGAACGTCCCAAGGGGCGCGCCAGGGGACGTGCCAGGGGACGTGCCATGGGAACGCACCGCTGGACGTGCCAAGGGATGCGCTACGGAACGTGCCAGTGGACGTGCCACGGGACGCGCCGGGGACGCGCCGCGCGACGTGCCAGGGGGACTCGCCGTGGGACGCACCACTGACGCACCACGGAACGTGCCAGGGAACGTGCCAGGTTGCAATGCTGAGTGTATCGATCTTGATGTACCGTGCCGAGGGCTGTGCTGTGCTGCGCCGTGCTGATCTGCGATGTGCCATGCCGCGATTGTGCTATACAGCGTTATGGATCGAGTGCTCCTTTGCATCCGAGTCCTGACCGAACTGATCTGGATCTTAAGCTCGAGCTGCCTGAGCACATAGTAGCTGCCCCAGGGCTCATTGACAGGGGGACATGCCAGGAGAACGCGCCGCGTAACGTCCCAAGGGACGCGCCAGGGGACGTGCCAGGGGACGTGCCATGGAGACGCACTGCGGGACTTGCCAAGGGGACGCGCTACGGAACGTGCTGGGGGCAAGCGTTTCGCTCAAGACATCCTGCCCAAATCCTCATGCTAGACATCCGCCTGGGCGACATGGACACGTGAAAACAAGCGTTTCGCTCGAGACATCCTCAACACATCCTCATGCTAGACTTCTGCCTGGGCAACGTGGACGCGTGAAACCAAGCGTCTCGCTCGAGACCTCCTCAAGATCTGGGCACGTGAAAACAATCATTTCACCTGAGACATCCTCTGAATTCTGGCCCCCAGGAGAGCAGCAATCTATAACATAAAACAACCGTTTCGCCCGAGACATTTTCAACACATTTTGAATTATACGGCATCAGCGCTCCAAGGGCCACGATCCCTTGTGAATTACGTGGCGCCCGCGCTCCCAGGGCCACAATCCCTTATAGATTACGCGGCACCCGCGCTCCCAAGGCCGCAATCCTTCGGAATATACGCGGGATTTGCGCTCCCAAAGTCGCGATCCCTTATGCATTATTTTGGATTTGCGCTCCAAAAGCCGCACCCTCTCGTAAATTACCCAGCCCCCGCACTCCCAGGGCCACGATTCCTAGCAAATTACGCTGGATCCGCACTCCCAGGGCCCCGAGCCTTCGTAAAAAATGCGGCGTCCGCGCTCCCAAAGCCGCGATCCTTCCTAAATGACGCGAGGTTTGCGATCCAGTCATCCTGGAGCGCCCAGGCCCGTCAAATTTTGCAAAACGAGCGTTTCGCTCGAGACATCCCCAGAATTTCTGCGCGCAGGACGCGCCATCCTTGAGCGGGCACCCAAAAAGTTAACATTTTAACTTTTTTTTGTGTCCAGGTCGGGGCTCCAGATTTGTTTTTTTCTAGAGGATTCTGCTGAAAATGCCCCCCCCGCGCCCTTTTTTAACGAGGGAAAGCCGGTGTTTGCAGACCCTGTTATGTTTCGAGGATCCGAGATGGGGGGCGCACTTTTCTCGAACGGGCACGCGTGAAACACATATTTTCCACGCCGAATTGGACTTTACCTTGTTTTTGATCGAACGGAATTTCGCCGGCCTCCAACTGGGGGGTCAACAATACTAAAAGAGAACCCTGGGCCGAGCCCTTTCCGGAAAAAACTGGCCGACTTTTTTGAGCATGTTCGCACCGCCAGCGTTAACACGAACACTTGGCCCAGGTTTGTCTTGAGAAATTTCCGCAAAGCTGGCCCAGGTTTCTTAGATCATCATTTTCTTGATCATATACTCGGCTGTATACAATCAGCTGCACCACAATTCTGCCACCACGTCTTCGGGTATTCTCCCCCTACTTTTCTCTCCATTAGCCAGCCTGCGCTCAGTTTGACGTTCTTCTTCCGTGGAAGCACGTGTGAGCAATTGCGGCGGCCGCTCCGTGTCCGTCCATTGTTTTGGGGCGCGCGTATCTTCCGCTGCGTCCGCCAGATAAGGAAACCGATCGGCCGTTCAGGTGCATTACCTTGATGTAGTTCTCCGACGGAGCAGCGTTTTTTTCAACCTGAGAGTTTTGATGAGAGGTTTGCGATGGCACTGCACGTTTCTCGAATTCGTTGCGCGAGGGCCGCATCATCAAAGCCCTGGCGCATCAGCTTTTGCTGATTTATGGTACCCGCGCAGGCGAAATATTGCACGTGTCGCAGGCCTGCCTCCACGATCCGAAGCCGGGCAAGACTTACTTACAGATACAGGCTTACCTGCGTCTCAGTCGTTCATGTGTGATGATTTTTAGCATTCTTCGCTGACTGGCCCTTGGCGCCCCTGGTAGCATGCTTGTTGTTTGTGTCGCAGCAAGATCTTGATCTCAAGTCAATTGGTTTGGAAGGGCCCTGATCAGGAATGACCGTCAGCTCTGCGATGCCTGATCTAACGATGCAGTTTAGCGCGAGCGTGTGCTGCCTGTATCTTTGCTCTTAGCAAGGGAGCCTGTAGATTATGCGCGAAGGTGAGCGGTACGACCTACACAGTTGCCTGCCTGGAAAAGGACAAGAGAGAGCACGATGCACTGGATGGGGCATTGGGGACATATCAGAGTTTGCGCCAGGAGAGCAAATGAAGACGGTGGTTGTTTCAAGCTTGGTATTAGCATGATCTTCGAAGCACGTGCGAGAAGGAATGCGCGTACACATGATAGGCAGTTTGACTTGTGTGACACGCGGGGCGAGCGTCTAATCTTGTTTCCATGGACACCAGGCAAGAGCGCAATGTGGTGATAATCGTTCAACCCCAGGGTAGCCCGCCCAAGTTTGTTAAGGTTTCCGATGGAAAGCATGCGCAACATGTGTGCTTCATCGTCGCAAGCTTGTGTCTAGCAACGGCCAGGATGTAAGTGGTTCTCCTGCTCGCATTCTTGACAAGCGTGAGTCTAGTAGCCCATGTAAGCTGAGCTGTTGGTTCTGTGAGACCTCTATTGGCTCAGCGGGACCAGCATCAGTGTACAACGGTGCAATCTAAGTGTATGCTGCAAGTTCAGCCTTTACGCACTCTCGAACATAAGTGTGGCATGTTTCAAGCTGGTAAAGTGCGAGCGGGCGCCTTTCAGGTTGCATGCCCTTACTTTCCAGGTCATTGTAGCATACTTTTCTGTGAGGTGAATACACCCGCATAGTGTATACACAGTCCAAGAAGAATGGGGAAACACGAGTACCGTTCGATAGGCTATCTCGCCAGCTGTTGGATATGTACAGCCCAGGTAGTGACGAAACGCCAGGGCGACACTCACACAACGACTGGCAACCCGTTTTGCTGGACAGCACGTGCGCATCGGACCATCCAGAATCACTTGAGGTCGAACCTACTCAGATCGTCAGCGAATCAATCTTCATCGAAACCGTGATAGATCTACCACGAAAAGTATGAACCAGGATATTGGGAACGATCCGCTTGTAGCGCGGGTGCCACGCGGAGTAGGTTTCTCATAGTAGCGTGAGGCCTCATGAGGCATGCGCGGGGCGCGTGCAAGCCTGTTTTGCCGTGCTGGGTCGACGCTCAGTCGAGGGTCGAAGTTCAAGGCGCCACGCGCAACGTACGCGTACAGCTATGGCGCGGGCCGAGAATAGGTTTTGAACCTTACGGCGTTCGGAATGCTCTGGCACATTGCCTACAACAGTGCGGCAGTTTGAGATTTCGGGACAAACGAATTAGTAATGCAAGTGGTGGGCGTCCCCTCGGTCTCGATAGCTGCTAGCGTTTGCCCCAAACATTAGTTTGCGAAGCACATGCAATACTGAGCAAATGCAGATGGCCCAGAAACACGATACACATTATTTACACCACTGTGTACGCATCAGTAATTCGCACCCTGGATTCTACGTTCTACCTTCGCAATGCGTGCATTCGGATTTGTTCTAACGTGTGCCGCTATATGCCACCACGCAGTAGCTTTTCAAACCTTCACCCTTAACAATAGCATGATACCATATACCCTGCAGCTTCTACCTTCTTCGGACGCTCTGCCTTCAGCGTTGTCCTCTGTATGACATAATATGTACTCTTTATTGTATGCTCTTAGCGTTATCTCCTTTTGTTTTGTACTACCTAATTCCCAACCATCCTGTGGTGTTGGGTCCTCGTTTTGAAGAGACAGCGCCCCGCGTTCACTCCTCCTCCTCCCGCTGCCCCCTCCCTCCTGCCATCATCATCATCATCACTATCATCATCGTCATCATCATCATCGTCATCATCATCATTATCATCATCATTATCATCATCATTCCTCTCCTCTCCTCTCCTCTCCTCTTCTCCTCTCCTCTTCACCCACCCAGTACACTGTTTCGTGGTTCCATAGGGAGCTCCACCCAAGGCCCTAGTGCCCGCGCCCGCATGCGTCACCCACACCCATTTCGGCACACCCCTCACACGTTTCGTGGCTCCATAGGGAGCTCAACCGAAGGCCTCAGTGCCCGCGCCCGCATGCGTCACCCACACCCATTTCGGCACACCCCTCACACGTTTCGTGGCTCCATAGGGAACTCCACCGAAGGCCCCAGTACCCGCGCCCGCATGCGTCACCCACACCCATTTCGGCACACCCCTCACACGTTTCGTGGCTCCATAGGGAGCTCCACCGAAGGCCCCAGTGCCCGCGCCCGCATGCGTCACCCACACCCATTTCGGCACACCCCTCACACGTTTCGCTCCATAGGGAGCTCCACCGAAGGCCCCAGTGCCCGCGCCCGCATGCGTCACCCACACCCATTTCGGCACACCCCTCACACGTTTCGTGGCTCCATAGGGAGCTCCACCGAAGGCCCCAGTGCCCGCGCCCGCATGCGTCACCCACACCCATTTCGGCACACCCCTCACACGTTTCGTGGCTCCATAGGGAGCTCCACCGAAGGCCCCAGTGCCCGCGCCCGCATGCGTCACCCACACCCATTTCGGCACACCCCTCACACGTTTCGTGGCTCCATAGGGAGCTCCACCGAAGGCCCCAGTGCCCGCGCCCGCATGCGTCACCCACACCCATTTCGGCACACCCCTCACACGTTTCGTGGCTCCATAGGGAGCTCCACCGAAGGCCCCAGTGCCCGCGCCCGCATGCGTCACCCACACCCATTTCGGCACACCCCTCACACGTTTCGTGGCTCCATAGGGAGCTCCACCGAAGGCCCCAGTGCCCGCGCCCGCATGCGTCACCCACACCCATTTCGGCACACCCCTCACACGTTTCGTGGCTCCATAGGGAGCTCCACCGAAGGCCCCAGGCCCGCGCCCACATTCACCCACACCCATTTCGGCACACCCCTCACACGTTTCGTGGCCCCATAGGGAGCTCCACCGAAGGCCCCAGTGCCCGCGCCCGCATGCGTCACCCACACCCATTTCGGCACACCCCTCACACGTTTCGTGGCCCCATAGGGAGCTCCACCGAAGGCCCCAGTGGCGGCGCTCACATGCGCATGCGTCCCGCACACCCATTTCGGCACATCCCTGACAGGTTTCGTGGCCCCATCATCCACCGGAGGCCCCAGTGGCGGCGCTCACATGCGTCACCCACACCCACCCAATTCGGCACACCCCTCACACGTTTCGTGGCCCCATAGGGAGCTCCACCGAAGGCCCCAGCGGCCGCGCTCACATGCGTCCCCGCCACCCATCCCGGCACGCCCCTCACAACAACAGGTTTCGTGGCCCCATGGGGAGCTCCACCGAAGGCCCCAGTGCTGCCGCCCGCATGCGTCACCACCCGCACCCAATTCGGCACACCCCTCACACGTTTCGTGGCCCCATAGAGAGCTGCACCGAAGGCCCCAGTGGCGGCGCTCACATGCGTCCCCGCCACACATCCCAGTACACCCCTCACGCGCTTCGTGGCCCCATAGGGAGCTCCACCGAAGGCCCCAGTAGCGGCGCTTACATGCGTCTCCGCCACCCATCCCCCCCCCCCCCGCAGCAGCATCATGTTTCGGGGACCCATAGGGAGCTCCACTGGAGGCCCCAGTGGCGGCCCGCACATGCGTTTCCGCCACCCATGTCGGCACGCCCCGCGCGTGTTTCATGTCCCCATAGGGAGCTTCGCCGAATGCCCCAGTGGCACCCATCTCGGCACACCCCTCACACGTTCCGTAATCCTATGGGGAGTTCCATTGAAGATGAAACCCGCAGCTGCGGTACTGACAACTGCATATGGTTGGGTTCTTCGCCAGGCTAATGTATTTTCGCAATCTGTCGCAGTGTCTGGTTTATAGCATCTGCTCTCCGATCTCTGTTCTCGGTTCAGTGCCCACAGTTGCCCGCTCTGTTCTGTCTACTCTCTCATTTATGAGGTCGGACATATGCATGCCCTCACTCTGCTCTGTTCTGTGCTGGCCAGCTCGCGGTTGCTTGGAGGTATAGGCGAACCCTCAGGAAGTCTTAGTCATAACCATATGTGTAGCCATATGCGTAGCCATAAGCGCAGCCATAGGCGCAACCGTAGGCGTAGCCGTAGGCGTAGCCTCAGGAAACCAGATGCGTGGCCATAGGAAGCCAAGTGCCTAGCCATAGGGAGCCCTAGGCGCAGACAAGATCGTGCTGAAACGAAGCAGCAGTATACCGGGCTGAAGGACTCATAAGGCCCAGGATACTTTGTGAAATCCACGGCTGCTCGTGCCTCTCAGTCCTATCTTGCTAGTGGGCGTAGCCGATATCTGCAGGCAGAGCTAAGAGCCACAGGCGCAGCCAAGGTCGTAGAATGAGGCCGCAGGCTGAGCCAAGAACCGTAGACGTACCCAACACGGGGGAGGGGGCACAAAGGCGGGCACAGGGGGGGTCCAATGAACAATTAGTTAAACAATATCTAGTTTTGGCTTTTGTAAGATCTATCGGATTTTCGATTCGGAAGAGATTCTCCCCTATCGTGTTGTAAAACGCATGTGCCAAGGGAGTCCGCTGGCGATTTCGAATGGTCCTGAAGTGCTTCGAACGGTTTCAATTCGACAGGGCGTTCCGCGACAACTATTTGCGGGTCTTCTTCTGGTCCTGGGAATTCATCTAGATGTTGTTAGACGGCCTCGGCCTCCATCGCGGCCTCAACCTGGAGTCTCACGACGTGCCGGGTAGGGAATACTTTAGACTTGAGTCTCAAAAGGGACGTGCCACTGGTGATGATGAGGTCGAATATGCGAGTGTTATAGAGGGTGCCGACAGCCAGGCTCGCCACGATCATCGTGGTGGGCGAAGAGTAGGAGGGAAGATGAGGAGGGGGAGGAACAGTAGGAGGATGATGATGATGAGGAGGAGGAGGAGGAGGAGGACCATAATTAACCCAAGATGTATCAGCGATGCTGTGATATACCCTCCCGTCCCAAGTCCCTGACTCATTCGTCACTTGAAGCATTCTTATTCACTGCCCGAAGCGCCCCCCTTGAAAGACGAGCGCTCCATGGCCCACAGATTTTTACAGCCGGAGCTTTGTTTTGAAAGTTCCCGCATCCTTTCTTTCGAACCGCAAACAATGTGGCAAGGTGGGTTTACAATCGGTCGGGGCTAGGACGAGGATAAATCCGTTCCATAGCGTACGGGAATTCTCTCAGGGCGTTCGGGAACGCTCTGAGAAGGTCGCGGCTCCCGCGACATCCTCCAGATTTGCCTGATCTCAGAGATTCCCGATTTGCCTTATCCGTACCCGATGTTATCCTCGACCTAGCTTTGTCTTATACACGGTCAAGAAAGTGCCCAGCGACAGCTCCGCTTTGAAAAGGGAGCCGCCCTCGATCCGCGTGCCTCTCGCTTAGTGCTAGGTTTTCTGGCGATGAGATCTTACGAGCTCTCAGGCGAGAGCCCCGCTTTGGAAAGGAGCCACCCTCCATCCGCTTGCAACTTTACAGTGGTGGTGCTTTTTGTTGAAGAACCTCAACAGGGAGCCCGTTCGAAAACAACTCCCGCTACGCCCGCGTAGTTGCGGCTTCCTGTTAAGACGAGTGTGCACGGCGCCACGGCGAGAGCCTCATTTTGAACATGTACCGCCCTCCATCTGTATACCTGTTGGATTTTCCAGGCTTCAAGATCGGTCTCAGGCGAAACGCCAAGCCCGCTCTAACAATACGTCTGATGGTGCGACAGGGGGGCGTTGTTTACAAGGAAGGGAGATGGAGGAAGAGGAGGAGGAGGAGAAGAAGGATGAGGAGGGTGAGTGCAGCCATGGTGACGCGCACCAGTTCTTGTATCTTTCAGATGAATGCCGAAACTTGTTTCAATCACTCATTCTCGCTCTCTGTAATTGGTCATTGCATGTTCATCGGAGGAGGAGGAGAAGAAGGATGAGGAGGGTGAGTGCAGCCATGGTGACGCGCACCAGTTCTTGTATCTTTCAGATGAATGCCGAAACTTGTTTCAATCACTCATTCTCGCTCTCTGTAATTGGTCATTGCATGTTCATCTCTTTCTTTTGCGGGGGCTTGCGCTGAATATGGGGAGGACTTGATGTTTGCGCCAGAGGACGCGCCGAAGTTCTGTGCTAAAGGAAGCAGCGAAATTCACCTTGTTGGCTACGTGGAACCCGAGCAGGCAATTTGGAGGGGCGCTGGAAGTGAGACAGAGGGTTTCTGTATACATATGGGCGTTCCAGAAAAGCCTCGCCTTCGAGGGACGGAGAAGCTGACTTCTTTTCGTCGGCTGAAGGTGGCGGAAGTAAAACAGTGGCGGCTTCGATTGCGGAAGCAGCATCGGGCGTGCACGACATATATTGTAGTGGCCTCTGGCCAGTGCCGCCGATCCGGGGTGCCCCCCCCTCCGACAGAGCGAAGCTTGAGCGAGCTCCCCCCTCCCCTCCCACTTTCGGGGCCTGAATGGCGTCAGCCATGGCGTCAGCCCTCGCCCCTCCCCGACTCCCCCCTCCCGGGCCCGAATGGCGTCAGCCATGGTGTCCGCCCTCCCCCCCCCTCTCCTCTCCGAGCCTGAATGGCGTCAGATATGGCGTCAGCTCCCCCCCCCCCACAGAGTGAAGCTTGAGCGAGCCCCCCTCCCACCTTCCCCCTCCGGGGCCTGAATGGCGCCAGCCACGGCGTCAGCCCTCCCCCCCCTCCCCTCGACTCCCCCTCCCTGGCCTGAATGGCCTGAGCCATGGCGTCACCCCCCCCCTCCCCCCTCCCCCCTCCTGGGCCTGAATGGCGTCAGCTATGGCGTCAGCCCCCTCCCCCCCCGACAGAGCGAAGCTTGAGCGAGCTCCCCCCCTCCCCCCCGGGTCTGAATGGCGTCAGCCATGGCGTCAGCCCCCCCCCCCTCCCGACTCCCCTCCTCCCGAGCCCGAATCTCCCCCCCCCCCTCCCCCTCCTGGGCCTGAATGGCGTCAGCTATGGCGTCAGCCCCCTCACCCCCGACAGAGCGAAGCTTGAGCGAGCTCCCCCTCCCCTCCCCCCTCCCGGGCCTGAATGGCGTCAGCCATGGCGTCAGCTCCCCCCTTCCCCCTCCCCGACTCCCCTCCCTCCTGAATGTCAGCCATGGCGTCCCCCCCCCCCCCCTCCTCTCCATCTCGGGCCTGAATGCTCCAGGGCCTGGCGCCATGGCGTCAGCCCCGTCCCTCCTCCGGCCTGAATGGCGTCTGGCGTCAGCCCTCTCTCCCCCCAGCTTGAGCCCTCCCCCCCCGACTCCCCCCTCTGGGGTCTGAATGGCGTTAGCCATGGCGTCAGCCCCCCATCCCCCCTCCTCTTCCCTCCTTCCGAGCCCGAATCTCCCCCTCCCCTCCCCCCTCCTGGGCCTAGCGTCAGCTATGGCGTCAGCCCCCTCTCCCCCCGACAGAGCGAAGCTTGAGCGAGCTCCCCCTCAACTCCCTCCTCCCGGGCCTGAATGGCGTCAGCCATGGCGTCCCCCCCCCCCCCCTCCTCCCTCCTGGACTCCAGGGCCTGAATGCTCCTGGGCCTGAATGGCGTCAGCCATGGCGTCCCCCCCCCCCCTCCCCCCCCCGACTCCCTCCTCCCCCCCCCTCCTCCTCCCGGGCCTGAAATGGCGTCAAACCCAGCAGCGTCGGATCGTCAGCTATGGATTTCTTTTGCTTTTCGTCAGACGCTCTGGAGCGCCTCAGACACGCCTCATGTATACATTCACGCATGTATATATATATATATATATATATATATATATATATATATATGCACGCCTACTCATGCATGTCTGCACGTATAGATTCGCGTATGTATGCATGCATGTTTGTATGCACGAATGTGTGTATATGTTTGATTGTTGGTTTGCTGGCTTGTTTGTTTGATTGTTTGATTGTTTTTTTTGCCTGTTTGTCGGTTTGCTTGTTTGTTTGTTTATTTGGTTATATAGTTATAGGTATGTCTCTATGTCTGTATATATATATATATGCATGTATGCATGTATAGATATACATGTATATATGTATGCATGCATGTATGTATGTATGCATGCGCGCCTGTATGCATGTATGTATGCATGCATGCATACATTTATGTATGTATGTGTGTCTGTGTGTATGCGTATGTGTATGTGTACGTGTATATATGTATTCATGTCTGTCCGACTGTCTGTCTGCCTGTCTGTCTATATGTATGTATATGTATGCATGTCTGTCTGTATGCACGTATATGTGTATTTATGTAGGTGTGCATGTATTTGTAATACATGCATGCCTGTCTGTATGTATGCAAGTATGTATATATGTACGTATGCACGTATACACATATTTATGTATATACGTATGCAGGTCTGTATGTATATATGTCGGTATGCAAGCATGTACACATGTTTATGTACACAGCTATGCTGTAGGTGTAAGCAGATATGCGTGAATGGGGTTGGCTCAAAGAGCTGCGCGCGGGTGTGTGTATATGTGTGCGCGCGCGTGTGTGTGTGTGTGTGTATATATATATATATATATATATTATATATATGCGCGCGCGTGTGTGTGGTGTGTGTGTGTGAGTGTGTGTGTGTGTGTGTTGTCTGTCTGTGTGTGTGTGTGGGTGTGTGGGGGTGGGGGTGGTTGTGGTGGTGGTGGTGGGGTGGGGGTGGTGGTGGGGGGGGATGGTTGGGGGGGGGAGGGGGGGTACCACTTGCATGAGGCTTCACAGTGCTAGCGCGTCGAGCCCTTGTGTGTTCGGCCTCCTGGTCAGTGAGTGCGCTTGTGCCGAGAATTCAATGCTCCAATAAAGTAAGTGTACTCATATGAGGTGGGCGGTGTGCTCAGTCTGGCATGTTCGAATCTCTGCCCCTGAGTGCTTGCTGGACCGTTTCGTTCTTCGAGCCTCTCAGTCTCGTAAGGTCCAGAAGCTGGCCCTCGAGCGTGTAACGATGCTGTTTCACTTCTACAACAACCATGCTAAGGTTTGCCAGTTTTGTGCCCTGAGACAATGAATCCTGATGAGGCGTTGGTCAATGCCAGAGCAGCGAGAGCTCTCTTCTTACCGACCTACCATACGGCACAGAACACGCTCATCTAGTGTGGAGGTGCGCCCTGTAGTACGCGGGTCATATGATTCGACATATAGATACAAAAGTGTGCGCATTCACACGCGCCTATGATAACTTGGTGTGCGTGTGTGAGTGGCCGTGCTCTTGGCTATCGCCCTTGATATCATGTTCCACCTGATCACCCCACCTGCCAGGTAATCCTCGGACTTCTGTCTTGAGTATTTTCATGCCCACACGACTCGCCGATCGTTGCGACGAAACATGGCCTCCTGGCTTGGGCCCAGGGCAGTGCGTGTAAGGCCGGCCGAGCGTGCACTCTACAACTTGCGAGAAACACGGCACCAACTCCTCAGGAACATGATGTGGGCCCTGAGTTCCTTTAGCTCAGCGATCTGGCCCCTAAGAAGCACCCCGTGGACCTGGGAGGCCAGAGCTTTCGAACTGAAGGACTTACACCGACATGCTTCAGCTCACGAGTCCTGAAGTCCTGACCTTCCTGGTTGCAATGGCGATGCTCAGGGGCCAGTTCGTTGAACTGAATGGGCTCGGGGTCCGCACGTGGGCGTTGGCAAGAGATGTGCCGATCTTCACGGTCTTCGGGATGGTGGGGCCGGCGTCGGGGAACCGCGCCAATTCTGGTCAGACTCTAGGCCCCGGGAGGCTCTCCCTCTTCCGCCTCCTCCTCCTCCTTCTCTGGCTTCTCTTGTGGCTCCTCCTCAGGCTCCTCCTCTGGCTCCTCCTCTGGCTCCTCCTCTGCCTCCTCCTCCTCCTCCTCCTCCTCTGGCTCCTCCTCCTCTGGCTCCTCCTCGTCTGGCTCCTCCTCCTCTGGCTCTTCCTGTGGCTCCTCCTCCTTCTCCTGATCTTCCTCCTTCTCCTGATTCTCCTCCTCCTCTTCCTTTGGCTCTTCCTCTGGCTCCTCCTCCTTCTCCTCCTCCTCCTCCTCCGCCTCCTCCTCCCCCTTGTTTTCTTTTCCTTACAGGCAACTCCTCCATGTCGCACCCCGAGACGTGTTGGCAGGGCGGGCCAGGCGTTTCATGTGAGATTTCTTCACCATTTGTGACGCTTTAGCTGGCAACTTGCAACAGTTTCACGGATGGAGAGCATGTTCTTTTCATAATGTGGCTCTCGCCTCAGCGCCGCGCATATCCGTTTTACATGTTAGCAGGAGCTTCCTGGATGCAGGGCAGTACCTTTTCAAGATTTGCCTGTCGCCGTAGCGCCGCGCACATTCGTTTTCACCGCGCAGCTGCTGGGAAGCACCCAGAGGCTGGAAGTCTTTGGGGAACTGACGACAGCATTAGAAAGCATCGAGCTCCTCCCTCGGCGCGCCGCCGAAAGATGGTGCGAGAAGCTGCTTGGGTTTACACTGGCCCTCCTCCTCCTCCTCCTCCTCCGCCTCCCCCCCCTTGCTCCCGCCTCCCCGAGCGCCGCCGACCCGTGGCGGCCCTGCCCGTGCGCGCGCTTGCCTCCGCCGCCCGCTCGGCTCTGCGCCTCGTGCTCCGCCCTCGGCTCCCGCAGGCGAGCGACGAGGAGGCCGCCGAGGCGGCAGCCCCTCCAGCGCCCCTGATCTTCGAGCCGTCTGGGGGTCCGAGGTGGCCCAGTAGCGGCTCTGGCCAGCAGGAATGGCGGGCAGGTTCGAGGGTCTGGGTTCGGGAAGGCTTTGTTGTTGTTGTTGTTGCTGCTGCTGTTGTTGTTGTTGTTGTTGTTGTTGTTGTTGTTGTTGTTGTTGTTGTTGTTGTTGTTGTTGTTGTTGTTCTTGTTATTGTTCTTGTTCTTGTTCTTGTTCTTGTTCTGGTTCTGGTTCTGGTTCTTGTTGTTGTTGTTGTTGTTCTTGTTCTTGTTCTTGTTCTTGTTCTTGTTGTTGTTGTTGTTGTTGTTGTTGTTGTTGTTGTAGTAGTTGTTGTTGTTGTTGTTGTTGTTGTTGTTGTTGTTGTTGTTGTTGTTGTTGTTGTTGTTGAATATTCATTTCTAGAGAATTATCAATGCTGATCTCCGGAAACGGTTCCGCGCGCTCTCGCCTCGACGCTAGCCACATTTTCGTTGAAAACGAGGCTCCCGCTCGAGCGTTGGCTTGAGTGTAAATGTAGGTCCTTGGAGGCCCAGCTACGACGACAACGGCTCCCGCTCGATACTTCTCACAATTTACCCCGAGACACCCTGGCCAAAGAGCCCCCGAACTCAGGAACGGCGCTCTCGCTCGAGACTTTCAATTCAATCAAGTTGGCGGAGGCCCAGCCACGACGACAAGGGCTCCTGCTCGATACTTCCTCACGATTTACTCCGAGAGCCCCTGGCCAGGAAGGCCCCCCGAACTCAGGAACGGCGCTCTCGCTCGAGACTTTCTTGCGATTCAGTCAAACTGATGGAGGCCCAACTGCGACGACAAGGGCTTCTGTTCGATACTTCCTCAAGATGTACTCGCAAAGGCCCTTGCCAGAGAGGCCCCCGAACTCAAGAGTGGCGCTCTCGCTCGAGACTTTCTCGTAATTCAGGCAAGTTGGTGGAGGCCCAGACACGGCGACAAGGGTTCCCGTTCGATATTTCTCCACATGTATTCCGAGAGCCCCTCGCCAGAGAGGCCACCGAACTTAGGAACGGTGTTCTCGCTCGAGAGTTCCTCGCACTTCAGCCAGTGGCCGACAAGGAAGATATTCCCGCCGAAAGGAGGTGCAATCGAAGACGAAGTGGGCGGGTATCGAGGGTTGGGAGATACAGAATGCAAGACACGCGTACCAGCAAGAGCGAGCAATCTTAAGATTGTTGTTGTTGTTGTTGTAGTAGAACTTTCACTACCCAGTGATAATTTTAGTTGATCCCCTCCTCCGGTGACCACTGTGTTTTTTTCAACTGAAGTGCTTCCCCCAGGGCTCGCACCCTGTTTTTGGTTATCAGGAAAGTCACTCGGCTCAAACTGCGTTGTTGGCCCCCGAACTACAACAACAACGGCTCCCGCCTGCTACTTTCTCACATTTTATTCCCGAATCGCGCTCTTGCGCGGGACCTCCTCACAATTTATTTAGGAATCGCGCTCTCGCGTGGGACTTCCTCGCAATGTATTCAGACGCCGCGCCCTCGACATTCAGGAGTCACGCTCTCGCTGTGGATATCCTCGCGATTAATTTTCGGAATCGAGCTGTCGCTCGAGAATTTCTCGCGATTCATACAGGACGCCTGCTTGAGTAACCCGCCTGCTTGACCTGGCCGGCTGGGCTCTCCTTCGCGACCCGCCTGGTAGGATCTACCCGCCCGATCTGCCCGTCTGGTTCTGCCACGTGTTTTCTGCTCCTAGCCCGTGCTCCATCCTCCTCCTCCCTCCCCCTTGTGTTTCCTTCCATCCGCCCTCTCTTCCCCTGCCTCAGGGGCTGCGCGACATACACGTTGCAGGTAAGAAAGATATACCCCCAAGGGGGTACGGTCGAGGACGAAGAGGGCGGGAATCGAGTGTTCGGGATATTCGTGTTCAGTGGCGCGCGAGCAGATAAGAGCGAACAGTCTCAAATGATTGATGCTGTTGTTGTTGCTGCTGTTGTGGTTGTGGTTGTGGTTGTTGTTGTTGCTGCTGCTGTTGTTGTTGTTACTGCTGTTTTTGGTTGTTACCTAACAGCGAAGACTGATAGGTTTCTGGTAGTGTCAAAAGAGAGCATCTTGACTGCCCAGGGGGGTCTGGGCAGGTGCCGGGGAGGAGCCGCGGAAGTCGTTTTAAGCAAACAGTTACACACTTCGTGGTCTTCGAGGTCCCAGAACTCCATTCCTGGGCATGATTTTGAATGCCCAGAGCCAACTGTAGGCCACTTCGTGGTCTTCGAATTCCCAGAACTCCATTCCCAGGCCACATTTTGAATGCCCGGAGCCAACTGTAGGCCACTTGGTGTTCTTCGTGTTCCCAGGACACCATTCCCGGGCCACATATTGAATGCCCGGAGCCAATTGTAGGCCACTTCGTGTTCTTCGTGTTCCCAGAAGACCATTCCCGGGCCACATTTTGAATGCCCGGAGCCAACTGTAGGCCACGTCGTGTTCTTCGTGTTCCCAGAACACCATTCCTGTACCACATTTTGCTTGCCCGATGTCCCCGTCTTATCCCGTGCTACACGCTTGCTGTCTTGTTCTCTTTCATCGGCTTGCAAAGCATGCGGTACTTTGGTATGCCGTTTGAGCACTTGCCACTGCGACTGCCATTGCGAATGGGATTGCGACTCCGAGTACACCAGAATTCTACAACAGGAGTCCTACATGAATCTAAAGGGGAAGGCTTCCAGATATGCTCATACACATCGCTGTTAGTTTGCTTTGCCGGGGTAATTGTTGCTGCTGTTGCTGTGGTTGTGGTGGTTGTTGTTGTCGTTATTGTTGTTGTTGCTGTCGTTGTTGTTGTTGTTGTTGTTGTTGTTGTTGTTGAACATTATTAATTCTAAAGAATAATTATTGTTGGGACCCCTGGTGCACGGCCCCCCTGCGCCGCCTAGGCCGCAGCTACATTTTCATCATTTTCGTGAGGAAGCCTCAGGTAATTCGATGTGATCAAGATCCGGTTGTTTTGTTCCCCCCCGCTTTCCCTTGCAAAAAACACTATAAAATGACATTTCTTGTTCTAATATAATCAAATTTCAAGAATCCCTTGCAAAAAATAAGGTAAAGTGGACATTCGCGCGCGCAAGACGAAATCCTTCCAAAAGCTTAGTGTTCGGAGCGATTTTAACATAAAAACATCAAAAAACCAATGGTTTTTCAACAAAAAAATCAAAATCTCATCCCGCGCGCTCTTGCGGATTCGTAGGAAACCCAACACTTTTTAAACATTTCTGTCAAACGGGCTTTTGCGAGCAACTTTTTCGAACTTCTGCGACAACGGTTGCGCACCTGCCAGGGCCATCATCCCTGTCAAATAATACCATGCGGGACACATTCGTTTTTTCTTCGCGCGCGCACGCCGAAATCTCCAAAAACCATTGGGTTCTTAAGAATTTTAGCACCGCGCATCATAAAATCACACGAATCGCACCGTAGGTCCTCGAAAAACACCTGCACGACTTTTCAAAATTTCCACCCGCGCGCGCTGTCCGGGACAACCATCGGGACAACCATCCGAACAACCATCGGGACAACCAGCGGGACAATCATGTGGACAACGATCGGGACAACCATAACCATCAGGACAACTATCGGGACAACCATGGGGACGACGATCGGGACAACCACGATCATCAGGACAACCATCGGGACAACCATCGAGACAACCATCGGGAAAACCATATCGTCTCTCTCTCTCTGTGTATTCCCACATCCCTCAGGAATTTGCCCTAAAGATGTGATCAACCATCTTGTGCGTACGTACCATGATCATGTGTACCATGTACCCTACGGGTCATATGCAACTGATGCCTTTGCGTATTCCCACTTCGGCACAGGAATTTGATTAAAAAATGTGACGAACTCCTCTCTCTCTGTCTCTCTCTCTTTGTCTCTCTCTCTCCCGCTCTCTTCCTCTGTCTCGCCTTCTCTCTCTCAGTGTCTGTACCATGTCTAGCACTGGTAACAAAGGTATTTGTGTATCCCCACATCCGCCCAGGAATTCCACAAATGTGACCAACTATCTTGCGAGTACGTATCATCTCATGTGTGTCGTGCACACTATCAAATGTAACAGAGTTGTGTATTCCCATCATCCCAGGAACTTGACCCAAAAATGTGACCAACTCCGCTCTCTCTGTCTCTCTCTCTGTCTGCTCTCTGTCTCTCTCTCTGTCTCTCTGTATTATGTATTGTATGGCACAATTGCACCATGCTGGGCACATGCGCGCCCCGAATAAGTGACCAAGTTCTGTGGGTGTGTACCCCACGCCAGTGTAGTAGCCACGGTCGTCCGCACGCCACGAAGTGAAGTGTCCCAACGTCATAGGGCGGGAAGCTGGGTTTGGGTGGTCGCGAAGAGTCGTTTGGATATTTGGTAGAGCTTGTAATGCCCCCCCACGAAGTGGGGGTATTGCCTGGTGTCGTATGAAAACCCTGGCACTGGGGAGAACACCACGCGTTCGGGTAAACTGATTGTTGTTGTTGTTGTTGTTGTTGTTGTTGTTCTTGTTGTTGTTCTTGTTGTTGTTGCTGCTGTTTTTGTGTTTGTTTTTGTTTTTGTTTTTGTTTTTGTTTTTGTTGTTTTTGTTGTTATTGTGGTTGTTGTTGTGCTGTGGTTGTTGTTGTTGTTGATGTTGTTGTTGTTGTTGTTGTTGTTATTGTTGTTGTTGTTGTTGTTGTTGTTGTTGTTGTTGTTGTTGTTGTTGTTGTTGTTGTTGTTGTTGTTGTTGTCATTGTCGTTGTTGTGGTTGTTGTTGTTGTTGGTGTTGTTGTTGTTGTTGCTGTTGTTGTTGTTTTGCCTCCCGGGGCTGTTTTCGGGCACTAGGACCGCAGAAACGGATCCGGAGCGAAACGCTGCACCAGGTGGACCCCTAGAGAAGACTGAGGACAGATTTTTCTGGGGGCCTAGCCAGTTCAGAGCACCTGGGTGCTTCCAACCTTGATCTTGCTTTCCTCGGCCCCTTCCTTTGTCAGGGGCAGCGTTACGGGGGACAGGCTCAGGGGGGGATGCATCATGCATCGATCCCCAATCGCTCATCGATCGCCGAATGGGGCCGAATGGGGCCTGACAGCCCACCCCGCCCAGGACCGCGCAGATGTGCAATCGGGGGCCTATCGCAGATCTATCGGCGATGTACCTCCGAGTCAAGCTCGATGTTTCTCCGCTGAGCTGGTGCCCCTCCAAGGTCGTCCCTCACCCTTGATGGGGTGCGCCCCGCCCCTAATCTCGAAGAGGCCAAGATCATCACGTAATTCCATATAATATCCTCATGTGGGTCCCTGTTTTCTTAGACAGACGCCTCCGACTCACACCTTACTCACACCTCCCTTTCCCGCCACTCATCCTCTTCTTCCTTACTCAGACTCACTCATACCCAGACTCACTCGCACTCAGACTCAGTCATACCCAGACTCACTCATACTCTGACTCACTCGCACTCAGACTTAGTCACATCCTTGTCTTCCTGACTCAGACTCGCTCATACTCAGACTCACTCATACTCAGACTCACTCAAATACAGAACTCACTCGCATCCTACTTGTCCCCATGCAGGCTCACTCATACTCAGACTTATTGACACCATACTCACCCATGCTCAGACTCACTCATACTCAGACTCACTCACACACAGCCCCACTCACAATCAGACTCACTCACCCTCAGACTCACTCACACTCTGACTCACTCACAATTACCCCACTCGCACTTGGACTTGTGACGCACTCGCACTCAGGCTCAGGCTCGGATATTGTGAGGATGTCTCGAGCGAATCGCTGGTTTCAGCGCCCCAAGGGGGAACCGCCAGGGGTGGTTGCACGGCTCCGTTTGCGCCCGTGGGGATGTCTCAGGCGCTTTGCCTATTTGGTTGCCCAGACTCCTCTGCTTTGAATGCAGAGTGTGAGGATGTCTCGAGCGAGGCGCTGTTTCAGCACCCCAGGTGGGAGCCGCCAGAGCTTAGAACAGTCGCCCGTTCGCGGGCGGCTAGATTGGGGATGCCTCGAGCGAGGCGCTTCTTTTGCGCCTCCGACTCCTGTTCATGCAAAGCCCCATGATCACGTCAATGTAAGGAGAAGGAAGGCCGCCAGGGAGGAGCAGGGAGGACGGGGGGTAGGAGGACGAACGAGAAGGGATAAGGGAGGAGGGATAAAGATAATGGATGGGGCTGCGGCGAGGAGGGATGTGAAAGAGAAGGGGGGGGGTGCTGGGAGGGGTCTCCTGACAGGGAGGAGGGGGCAGGAGGGGGGACGGATGGGGGGGGGAGGACGAGGAGGAGAAAGAGGAAGGCGCAGGAGGAGGGAAAAGGACGGCCTCCAGGGAGGATGAGGGAGGACGGAGGAGGAAGCAGGCGGACGCAGGAGGAGGGAGAAGGGAGGAAGGAGCCAGAGAGGGGATGGGGCTCGACGAGGAAGACGAGGAGTGGAAGGGGAAGGGCCCGCTCAAGGCCTGTCTCTGAGTTGTTGTCGTCCTCGTTGTCCCTCATGGTAGCCGCCGCCGCCGCCGCCACCGTCGTCGTCGTCGTCGTCGTCGTCGTCGTCGTCGGTCGTCGTCGTCGTCGTCGCAGTCGTCATGTCTGTCGTCCACTTGGAATCGCTGTCACACCCAGACGCTCACAGCAAGACGCTCACAGGGGGGATGGGGAGAGCATGAGATGCACACATGGGGATCTCCGCGTCAAGTCATGTTCCTTCGGATTTTCACTGATGCCCGCGATCCCGCATGTTTCGGGCTTCCGACAGCCCAGGGCGGCCCCAGAGGCGGCCCAGAGGCCCCCAGGACGGGCCGAGAGGGCCCCAAGACGGCCCCAAGAGGCCCCCAAGACGGCCCCAAGAGGCCCCCAGGACGGCCCCAAGTGAGCCCCAGGGTGCATGCTCCTGCGCCCCCTCCCTCCTCCTGCTCCTGCCGCTGCTCCTGCTCGTACTCGGCTGCACGCTGGCGGGGCCCTCGCCCTCGCTTTGCTGGCGCCCGCGCCGCGTGGGCTGCAGCATGCCTGCGCAGCCGCGCTGAGAGGATCATGGTCCAAAGGTCCGGCGACGGGTGAAGACAGGCCAGACGTGCAACATTTTATTCGCCCGAGAGAGGGGGCTTCCCGAGCAGTCCCACTTCGTGCCCAGGCGCGCGTCCTCTCTGGGGCCTCTCTCACCTTTCGGGGCCTCGGGGGGACCAACCCCTCTGCACGCCAAGCTGGCTCACACTTTTCGCGTCAGAGGGCCGCTGGGGCGCTCAACCAAACGCTCGGAACAAACACCGTCTGGTACTGCTTGCAGTCGAGATGTGTCGCGAAGAGTGGAGTCGCGCGACAGGCAATCTGGACCCACACCTTCCTCATCCAGCGGGAATATAACATACCCTGCTCCGCGCGGTGATGTTCCGCTCGCCAGTATTCCGCCCAGCTCTTTCGAGATCCCGCCAAGTCCTGCTGGACTCGGCCAGGCCGCCGCCACTGCCGCCGCCGCAGGCGGGCCGCCGCTGTACCGTTCTGAGATCGCCGCGCGCCGCGACTCGCGCCATGCGCTCCTCCGCCGCCGCCGCCGCTGCCGCCTCTGCGCCCTCCGCCGCGCCGCTGACCGCCGCACGGCCGCCGCGCGGCCGCCGCGCGGCCGCGGGCACCTCCTGGCTCCGCCACGCGGCCGCGGCCGCGGCCGCTCCCGGCGCGCCGCCGCTGCCTGCGCCAGGCCGCGGTGGCGCCAAAGGCGGCCGCCCCGAAGGCGAGCGCCTCGCCCAAGATGCTGGCGGCGGCGGCCGCCAAGGCGCTTTCGATCGCCCCGCTGGTCGTCGTCGACTTCGTCGTCGTCGTGGTCGGTATCGTCGTCGTCGTCGTCGTCGTCGTCGTCGTCGTCGTCGTCGTCGTCGTCGTCGTCGTCGTCGTCGCTTGGGTAGTCATCTTCGTCGTCCTCATCGTCTTCATCGTCTTCGAGTTCGAGCAGGAGGATGAGGAGGAGGAGCATGGCGATGATGATGATGATGATGATGATGATGATGATGATGATGATGATGATGATGATGATGATGATGATGATGATGATGATGATGATGATGATGATGATGATGATGATGATGATGATGATGATGAGGATGATGAGGATGATGATGATGATGATGATGATGATGATGATGATGTTGATGTTGTTGATGATGATGATGATGATGAAGATGATGAGGAGGAGGAGGAGGTGGAGGAGGGGGAATGGGAGGGGGAGAGGAGAAGGAGAGGGAGGGGGAGGAGGAGGATGCCAGCGGGAAGAGGAAGAGGACGAGGAACGGTGGGGTATAGGCAGGAGGATGAGCAGGAGGCGATTGCCGCCCCTCCACCCTCCCCTCTCCCACCTCCTTCCTCGTTCTCCTCCATCTTCTCTTTCTCGCCCCTCCCCTCCTCCCTCACTCTATGTGTTTCACATCGGCTTGGCTGCCTGCACGGTTGGTAGTGCTGTATCCTTATCCCTCCTCCCTTCCTCTTTTCCTCCCAGGTAGTATCCCGCGGCACGCCCATGCTGTCTTGTGCTGTCTAGTCTGCTCGACCTCCTCCTCCTCCTCCTCCTGTTCCTCCTCCTTCTCCTTCTCCTCCTTCTTTCTCCTCCTCCTCCTCCTCCTCCTCCTCCTGTTCCTCCTCCTTCTCCTCCTTCTCCTCCTCCTCCTTCTCCTCCTGCTCCTTCCTCCTCTCCACCGCCCCCTCTCGCTGCCGCTGGCGAGGCATCGCCCAAGGCGGCTCCAGCCCCGTCTCCGAAGGCGGCGCCGGCGGCCTCGCCGAAGGCGGCGGCCAAGGCCTCCCCGAAGCTTGCAGCCAAGAAGGCGGAGGCTTGGGGCCGCCGCCGGCAGTTGCCACGCGAGCCGCTTGCTCGGCTTCCCTTCCTCGTGCCCGAAGAAGGAAAAAACGGCACACACTTGTTCCCAACCATCCTGTGTGTTCGGTCCTCGTTTTGAAGAGACGGTCACCGCGTTCCTCCTCCTCCTCCTCCTCCTCCTCTTCCTCCTCCTCCTCCTCCTTCTCCTCCTCCCCTCTCCTCCCTCCTCCGCAGTTCGCATGCGTCTCCCCCGCTCATTGCGGCGTTTCGTGGCCCCATAGGGAGCTCCGCCGAAGAACCCAGTAGCGCAGCCCGCATGCGTCTCCCCCAACCAGTACGGCGTTTCGTGGCGTCTCCCACACCCAGTACAGCGTTTCGTGGCCCTACAAGTGGGCTCGGCCGACGGTCCCAGTGGCGCAGCCCGCATGCGTCTCCCACACCCGCTACGGCGTGCCGTGGCCCCATAGGGAGCTCCGCCGAAGGTCCCAATGGCGCAGCCTGCATGCGTCTCCCACACCCAGTGCAGCGTTTCGTGGCCCTATTCGGAGCTCCACTTGCGGTCTCAGTGGCGCAGTCCGCATGCGTCTCCCAGTTGCGCAGCCCGCATGCGTCCCGCCCACCCAGTACAGCGCTTTGTGGCCCTACAAGGGAGCTTTACCGAAGGTCCCATTTGCGCAGCCCGCATGCGTCTCCCCCTACCCAGTACAGCGTTTCGTGGCCCCATGGGGAGCTCTTTCCCGGACCCTGTACAAATTTTCGTGGCCCCATAGGGAGCTCCACCGAAGGTCCCAGTGGCGCAGCCCGCATGCGTTTCCCCCACCCAGTACGGCGCTCCGTGGCCGCATAAGGTAGCCCCACCGAAGGTCCAAATGGCGCAGCCCACATGCGTCTCCCCCACACAGTGCAGCGTACCGTGGCCATTTGCGGAGTTCCACCGAAGGTCCCAGTGGCGCAGCCCGCATGCGTCTCCCGCACCCAGTACGGCGCTCCGTGGCCCTACAAGGGAGCTCCACCGAAGGTCCCAGTGTCGCAGCCCGCGTGCGTCTCCCCCACCCGGTACAGCGCTTCGTGGCCCTAGAAATGCACTCCACCTGAGGTTTCAGTGGCGCAGCCCGCATGCGTCTCCCCCACCCAGTACAGCGCTTCGTGGCCCTACGAGGGAGCTCCACCGAAGGTCCCACTTGCGCAGCCCGCATGCGTCTCCCCCCACCCACTACAGCGTTTCGCGGCCCCTTCGGGAGCTCCACCAGAGGTCCCAGTGGCGCAGCCCGGATGCGTCTCCCACGCCCAGTGCAGCGTTTCGTGGCCCTACAAGGGAGCTCCACCGAAGGTCGCAATTGCGCAGCCCGCATGCGTTTCCCACACCCAGTGCAGCGTTTCGTGGCCCTAGAAATGGGCTCCACTTGCGGTCCCTGTGGCGCATCCCGCATGCGTCTCCCCCACCGAATACACCGCTTCGTGGCCCCATAAGGAGCTCCACCGAAGGTCCCTGTGGCGCATCCCGCATGCGTTTCCCCCACCCAGTGCAGCGTTTGGTGGCCCCATGGGGAACTCTCTCCCGCACCCTGTACAACTCTTCGTGGCCCCATAGGGAGCTCCACCGAAGGTCCCAGTGGCGCAGCCCGCATGCGTTTCCCCCACCCGGTACGGCGCTCCGTGGCCCCATAGGGAGTTCCACCGAAGGCGCCAGTGGCGCAGCCCGCATGCGTCTCCCACACCCAGTATAACGTTTCGTGGCCCTACAAGGGAGCTCCACCGAAGGTCGTCGCAGTGGTGCAGCCCGCATGCGTTTCCCACACCCAGTACAGCATTTCGTGGTCCTGCAAAAGGGGCCCCACCGAAGGTCCCAGTGTCGCAGCCCGCGTGCGTCTCCCCCACACAGTACAGCGTTTCGTGGACTTACAAGGGGGCCTCGTCCGAAGGTCCCAGTGGCGCAGCCCGCATGCGTCTCCCCCACCCTGTAAAGCGTTCGTGGTCCTGAATGGGGGCTCGACCGAAGGCCCCTGTGGCGCAGCCCGCATGCGTCTCCCCCGCCCCGTACAGCGTTTCGTTGCCTCACAAGAGGGGGCTCCAGCGAAGACGATATCTACAACTGCGGGGTTCACAACTGCATATGGTTGGGTTTTTCGCCAGGCTAACCTTTTAAAGACGCAGCAGCGCGGATCAGCCGAAGGTCACCACGGGGCCTCATTGAGCACAACAGGTGAGAGGAGAGAGAGCGCGCGGAAGGTGAAAGGAGCACGCTCAGATCATGAAGTTCTCGACCGTGTGTACCGGAGTACGAGCGTGCACAGCAGTGAGACGTGGAATTCCTTAGCCATCAAAAGCGACATACAGATAAATTTTCGGAGCTCCGCGCCGATTTATTGGATCGGCGCTGGACCTCCCTGGCGGCGCGGCGCCTTTGGCGCTGCCCCTGGCGCTGCCCCTGGCGCGCTCCTCGCGTGAGGGAAGGGGGGTGCCACCGCAGATCCAAGAAATCCGCGCGGTCTTCTGAATGTTCATGTTTATGCCGTTTTTTGTTCGTCCTCGTGCTGCCTTTCCTCTTCTCCTCTCATCCTGCCCTCGTCGCCATGAAGCAGACAGGTCCTGAGGTTTTTCGCCGTCCTTCTCCTCACAGGGCCCTCCACAAGACGGCCCAGGACGCGAAACGGGTCCTGGGCGAAGGCCCGGGCTCTAGGACTTGTTTCTCTTAGGACCCGGTTGCTCATGCCAACCCTGCAGGGCCCATCTCGACTCGATCGGTCCGATTCGATGTCGCGCTTGCCCAGCTCGATCCGATCCGGTTTCGGTTCCCTGGCGATCCGATGTGGCCTGGTGCTCGAACAGCGTAGTTGCGCATTCGGTCGCAGCTGATTCGGTTCGATTTGGACTCCGAGCCGATGCAGCCTGGTCCGACGCAGGCTGCGGCCCGATTTCCTGGCTTGATGCTGGCTGATCTTGCCCTGCCTCCGGCGCTGCCGCTCCTGGGGTGTCTGGGGCCCGAGATTCTGCCCCCGAGACCTCGAGATCTGCTCCGCCCCAGCAATGGCCATAAGTGGTACTGTTTGTTTTGGGGAGGACTGTGACAGGGAGGACCATTAAGTGGTACTGTAGGGATTACGGCCTCAGACAGGCCGGGCACACCGCCGTATCCACCTGGATTGTGTGGCACGCTGCACCCACCTACGACGTACCATACGCCTTCCCCGACCCTAGTCTAGCCGGGCTCCCCGTCCCAGACATCCCCGCAGCAATTGACGCGGTCGAGTCACGCGCCAACAGGGATAGATAGCAGGAATAGAGGTGGTGCCTAATCCCCTTTCTTCGTCTTCTCTGCTCGCTCCGGCCCTGCTAAGGTCCGGGACGTTGCCCCCTGTATCCGCTACTACCTGAACGTTGTGCTTCTTTTGCCTCCCTGATTCCCCATGGTGGCCAAGGCCAAGATCGTGGCCCCTTGGCCGCACGCGGCTCCCGGCCGTCGACAACCACTCAAGAACACACTTGGGCGCATCGTGTTCAAGTGCCGCGAGGCCCCCGGCATCCGCTGGACCTACATGGACGACAACAACGGCGGCGGACACTGGGGCTGGCTCTGCGACGAATGCGGCAAGGCGGTCAACGACCAGCAGCACTTCACGTCCACCGAGCACATGAAGCAGCGCAGGCAGACCCAGCTCGCAAGGTATATGGAAGGAGAAGCTCCCCACGGACTCCCTGATCCCCAGCGGTTCATGATGGGATGCGACCTTTGGAGCATGACCGAGGGCAAAGCCACGCCGGAAATCCCGCGGGTGAAGTACCCAGGCTGGTGCTGGGACTGGGACCTCGACGACAAGATGTCCCCGATCGACCCCTGTGTCTACGAGTCCGACTGGGACTGGATTCCGATCGGCTTTCCTGGGTGCTACGACGGGCCAGAATACTCTCCCCCACTGGGGCAAGTAGTCACCAACGACGACGTGCGACTTCCCTGGACCAAGGCCGCCAGCCCCAAAGGGCAGGCGAAGGAGCAGGAGCTCCGTGACGCAGGGCAAGCACTGGCCGGTTCTTTGGCCATGAGGGGTGCGTCCAGTTCCTCTGCTGGGCCGTCTGCCGACGTACCACCGCCCCCTCCCGGGCCTCCGCCCACGGCGCAAGCAGCCCTTCCCGGGCCCCCCCCTGCTGCGTCCTCCTCAGCCGGCCCTAGCGGCTCCGGGAGCCACCCGGATCCATCCAGGGGCCCCGTCAAGGCCGGATCGCCGGCCCCACCTTCGCCAGGGGCGCCCGTCATCGAAGAGCGGCGCACGCAGCTCGCCAAGAACGTCGAGAGCATCTACAGTCTACAGCGTCCCCTGGTACATGGTCAAAAGCAGCGCTGCGTCGCGCCCCTGCCTCGGACCCGTGCCTGGAGCAGTCCCGCTGCAGTCAGACTGGATACGGCGGCTGCAGACATACGGCAAGGAGCGCAGGAGAGTCTTCTTCACCGAGTTCTATGCGGACGTAGAGCCCCCCGATGACGGCACCACAACAACCCGTCATATCATCGCCAGCAAGACTACCTGCGCTCTGGGCGTGCAGGTCTTCCCATGCTTCGCGCCTGGGGAGCACTGCAAAGATCTCTTGGATCACTATCAACTGCTGATATACTCAGAGGCCAGCGACAGGGCCAAAGCGAATACTACCTGCTCCTGTGGGACAAGACGTGGGCCATGGAATGGACGGAGCGCGACATGGCATCTGTCACCCCTAATCCCTTCATGGTCTCTAAGACCTCACCGACGGTGGACTTCTTGATTGAGATGACCCCTGTCTGGCCCCCAGCCCCTGGCGCCGAAGTCTCGGGCACTGACCGCAGCTGCCCCTTTGGCATAGCCCTGGTCCGCTACGACGCCAAGAAGCACGGGCCCCTCCACGACAGCGACGCCACCGTCAGGAGACCAATCCCTGGCCAACCTTACTACAGAGTCGACCGCACCACGAGGATGGCCCAATTCAACGGGGTCAACGCCGCGATCCGGGAATTCTTCTCGGCCGCGTGCGAGAGGGCAGCCCTGTGGGTCGCCGCCCTCCCACCCACAGTCTGGGCGCTCGTCTTCCGACGCGAGGATCGCGACAACAAGGCCAGCGCCCTGTCGGTGCCCGCGCAAGGTGTGGCGGCGGATCGACTGCTTGCGCAGGCTTCGGCCGCGCTGGAACGCATGATCGACGACCCCGACCAACCCGGCGCCAGCGGGCGAGCATTCGAACCGCCCCTGACACCCCAGCAGGTTGGCGAGTCCCCCGGCTGCGTCTTTCAGCGACTGCTGCCTGTCCCGCGGGAGGATCACCTTAAGCGCACCTGCGACCAGCGCTGAACCGACGAAGCTCAGCGTCGCTGGGTGCTTGCGACCCAGAACTCACTCTTCACCCTGTGCCACGGGCCGCCCGGCACAGGTAAGACCAAGGTTGCGGCCTGCATCGCGGACGCTTACATGTCGTGCCTCGCCCCGCGCCCAACCCGCGGCACCCGCGGCTCCATGGGCGCCCTGGCTGAGCAGATCGGGAAGAACTTGACTCCGGACTGTAGCGACCTGTTCCCGCGCTTGGGTCTGCGCCTCGCGCACGAGGACAAGGTGAAGGGCAGCGCCGCCGGGGGGGTCACCCCCGTCGCTAAGTGCGCCGCAGCGTACAAAACCCCTGAAGGCGAGGTCACAACCACGGACCACGCGCACTGGCTCCATAAGTTCCGGACTGAGATCGCAGCCGAGGCGAAGCTCACCCTGGCCGCGCACGAGGCGGGGGCCGACCTTTGGGGCGAGAAGTTCCTCATCAGCCTCCTGGGCGAAGCGGGTCAGACGGCCGAGCCCATGGCTATCATGTCCCTGATCCACGCCGCCCGATGCGGGGCCAGAGTTGTCTTCTTCGGCGACGAACGGCAGCTATGCCCAACGGTCAAGTCCCAGCAGGCACTGCGTGGGGGCCTCGGGATCTCCATCCTCGCCAAGTACGCGTCAGCAGTAGGAGAGAACCCTAGCTGCAACGTCGCCCTGGATGAGTGCTATCGCATCCACCCTTCCCTGCTTGCTTAGCCCTCGATCACGTCCTATGGGGGCAGGCTGGTCTCGGCCATCCTGGACCCCATGCGGCAGCGCCCCATGCGCCGAGGGACTTCAGCGGCCACGCGCAGTGCCGCTGTCCAACGAGGAGTACGACGCAGCAAAGAGCGGGAAGAAGGGATGCGGCCCCACCAACTCCCTTATCGACACCGCAGGCAGGTTCAGGAGCAAGGCGGCTTGCCCACCTGTCCCGAACGCGGGAGACGGCAGCGCCGTCTTCGACCAGCACCGGTTCCTACTAGCGCACGTCCCCTCACAAGAGGTCCAGTCCGTGCGCCAGGACGGCTGCGCCAACATTCACGAAGCACGCGCCGTGGTAGCTCTGGTCAAGGCCCTCGTGGTCTGGGCTACACGCGCCCGCGGCACTATCCTGGTGCTGTCGCCATGCAAGCTGCAGCTTGCCCCCGTGCTGGCAGGCAACCCCTGCTCTTCCCAAGACATCAGGCGTTGCTCGCGGGCGGCCCAGGCCGACGGACCTGAGGCGGGCGTGGGCGCGACCGGCTCGCAGCGCTTTCAGAGCCGGGGAATCTCTCGTTCCTTGCCCGCCGACAGGAGGTTCTTCACAAGAGGGGCCTGGATCAACCGCGCCGCGACAGCCAACGGCCTGAACGAGCGCTTCGATGGGCTCATGGACCTGTTCCCGCACCTCGTGGAAAACGAGGCCCCGCGCGTCGCCACCGTCGACTCCGCCCAGGGTCAAGAGGCATCCGTTGTCATGCTGCTGACCGGCGCCGCCTCGACGTGGGCCTGACACGTCCACAGTGCAACCTCATCATGACCGCAGACGCGAGGATGTTCCGCGCAGCCACCGGCGCTGCCCTCCACCACCTAAGCACCTTGGCCCAGAAGGCGAGCCTTACTTTCGAGTTCCACCACAACTCGAGCGGATCTCTGCGCCAGAGCCTCGCGGGCCCACACGTCTTCCAGGATCGCAACCTTGACGCCGCCAACCCCGAGGAGATGGCCCGGCTGCAGGCGGACGCTGACCGCGAGCAGAAGGAGAGGGAGGTGATCAAGGCCCGGCGAGCCCAACAGGCGGGCTTCTCGGCCCGCGCCGACGCGCCCCTCCCTACGGACCACAGCTGGTCGGACCTGGAGGATGACGTCAACGCGGCGGTCGTGCGACTCCTGTACTGCGCGGCCTTCGGACCCTGCATCCTTTGGTGCCTCGGACTGCGC